ATTTGAAGGGCACATCCCTTGGGACACAAATACCTAAAGAACACGAATACTTGAAGGACACGAATACTTGAAGAACACGAATACTTGAAGAGTACTTAGAGAACTATTTCTTGATACATAACAATGAGAGAAATCATGATACATGATTTTCGTCGGGAAAATTCAATCCTAATAAACAAGACGAGGTTTCATATGCACTAACTTTACCATCTGTTCTATTTACTAATTTAAAAACTTATGTTCATTCATCAACGGACCGCCTAAAGAAACAGATGGAGCATCGACTACGTGAAGAATATTTATCGACAAAGCATTCAGGATCCGTGTCGAGATTCGAGCTTTATCTGACAGCGTATCGACGCTCCTTTCAGCCAATGCGACACGACGACTCTGAGCCCTGATTCGGTGCCGTTGATAAATCTTTCGCGCGGCATGAGGGACGGAGGATTTTTGCCGCAGAAATATTTGAGTAGCTCGATAACGGGAGGAGATTTACGCGCGGCCCGAGCAACATCATCCCCTACCGAGAATTCTGGGATCATGCTGTCGTTGCACATCGATACAACGCGCCAGTCGCAGCTCGCTTTTCTCCTCCATCATATGTAATTGACACTAAAAGTGTGGACTTAATCGATCACATTTCACAAGTCGCTAACCATGTGTCGAAGTTCTTTTGCAGTTTTTTTTATCTTTCCTTCCCTTTTTACGTATTAGTCCTCGTATTAGGCTGCTGTGTATGAAATATCGTTTTATTCTTAGATTTTTTTCGAGAAAATTATTTATCATACTTTTATTTTATCGTTCGCTATTGTGAATCAAATTGAAAATGAAATTTTCTAATGAAACGAAAAAATAATAAATTATTTTATACATAAGACTATGCTTAGTCACTCAGTCTGGATTATTCAGATCAAATTAATGAATGTTCAGCTTCTTTTCAAAACATCGTTTGCCGATGGTAATGGAATAAATTATTGCCTGTACACAATTTGTATAATATAACGATACGCGATCTCGAAACTTGTTAAGCGTCCCTACCCTCGAATCCTGTCATCGAGCCAAGGTAAACGCGCGGTGCAACGTTCATTTTCCGTGAATCGACCGGATGTTATAACGTACGTGCGTGGAATCCTCGGGACCGAAATGTCCGCGTCCGAGTGTCCAGGTTTTACGGTACAAGCGATATCGGCGTGAAAACGTGGATGACTTATGGCTGGAAGAGCTACTTTTTTCGGCCGCCGTGTATCATTCGACGAGAGCGAAAATATATCGGGTCGTATTTTTTTCTCAGGGTGTATATTATATTTGAACGATGATTCGTTGTCGATGAGTTACAAATTGGCGTACTGGTTCTTTTTAAGATAATATTTAGTTTGACAGATGAACAAAGGTATTCGTGATAGAATTGTAACAAACTGTTATCGTAAGACATAAATAGTACTATTTTCTTGCGTAATACGAAAAGCATTCTCTTTATTCAAATTTATGAAGAGGAATGGTTCCCAACATTTTATGTAACGCTCGTCGTAAACATTGTGTAATGGTTTTCTTTATAGGATAATTTTCGCGTAAAATAGGGTTGAGATAGATAAATGTGCAGCAATGTTGGCAATTGATTAAAGAAACACTGAGAGGGCAATTATAGTCTTAAACGTACCATGAAGTGACCTGTCCAACTTGATTAAAGTACGAGCAGCGATCGATTCATTGAAATTCATTAGTAGCACTCCTCGACTAACTTCCAATCGACAGACTTGAAACAATTGAAGATCGATCCTACAAGGAAACCAGTGTTATTCTACTATTTTACGAGAGACGAATACAAAACCAACAATTTATATTGAACGAAAAAGTATCACTATTAAAAATAATCTTCTAAATTGATTAAAAATTTACAACGTCGACAAGTCTGGATATTTCTTCACTGATTGCGAGATAAAAAAGGAAGATAGCATAGCTCTGGAAACAAGAGTGAAGAAATTACAATAAAACTAGCACGAACGCGATTCGCCGTTGACGTAAAAACGAATTTTTGGAAAAATTTCGTCGGGATCGTCTGCGGTCGCGCCAACAAACGACGAAGGCACACTTCCTTTTCGCTGGCAAAACGCAATATGCCTCACGGCTTGGCCGCGGTACGGGGACAGCTCACTCGCAGCGTGTTCGACAACAGAGATCCAATTTCGCTCGGCGACGTTAAGCGGCATACGCCGATTTCAACGGCTATCGATCGACGTCGGCGTCGATTCAGTTTACTACTTGTCGACGCACTTTACCTTAAATAGTCTAAAAAAAATCGTCGGCTTTAATCGGTCTAATTCAGCGCATGGAAAGATAGAAACACATTATGTATTTAATATAGTAGAACCTCCATTTTCTCTTTCGATTTTCATTAATCATATATCACGGAACAACCTCAATGAGCAACAAGAATTGAAAACTGAGAAAGGTCCTTAAATTCAAACCTAAGGTATGTAACTTAATATAAAAAATTAAATGAAGGATTTGGTAAAAGTGCTTTAGAAGCAAATTCAGTTAGAATGTAATGTCGCTACGTCGCTACACTGGCGATTTGATTGAAAAGACGGCTTGTTAAGAGCGACATTCCGGTCACGCGGCGAATGAATTGCTCTGATATTCGCGTTACTCTCACGCAAACGACTTTGCTGATTTTAATTCGATTTCTCGAGGCTCTTCGGACGACTTTGACCAATTTCGAATAATCTGAACGGTTTGTTGAAAACGTTTCTATTGTGTTCGATTCTTCAATTACGTAAAATCGCTCTTCGGACGTGATTTAATTAATTAACGTTTCGGCTCGCAGTTATCAATATTTATTTACAAGATTCGACGAGTGGTTTGTAAAACGCCTAACAAATATTTGTGCATCAATACACATTTATGTAAAGCGTATTGATAGAATTGAAATCCGCTATGTCTCCGTGTCGTTGACAAATACATGCCACGTTAGTCTATCGATCTTTAATAATCGAAAGCTTTCTGACAAATATAACGCACTGTGTTTTCCATTGATAAATTGATGAATTTATGCAACAATTACGAAATTATCTTAGAAGAAAGCCGCAGAAAGACCATTGGAATCGTAACAAAGGTTCGAGGGAAATGATCAACCAACCTCAGGATTGCTCATGTTGCATCTAACCGCTCCCACATTTGTTAGAAGAACCGCAACGCGGGTGTTTAAAGCATTGTTAACGTCACAAGGGTGTTCACCCTACGTGAGCCTAGGTCTACTGGCTGTGATCGCAGTCGTAACGTCGAAATGGATATCGATCGATAGTCGGTTGGCACTCTGGCACGTTCCCGAATCGAGTTTATGACCTTTGTTAAAGGCTTATTTTGGCTTGCATTTTAGCTAGGGTTGCTATACTTTTCATTTGTACGTTTCTAACTTTATCTTCGATTAATTATTAACTCGACGCAATGATCATTTGCAAGATATGTAGACAGATTGAGAGCTGGAATGGTAATCCTCAAACCAAGTCCCCAATGTGTATCAATATGATGGAATATCCTAATATTGTGAATCATCATATACGTCGTCATTTCGCGATTGTCTTATCGTGTTTTTGCGCAGTTTCATATCGAGAGAAAGGCGAACGTTCTGGGAATGAATACGATTCCACCGGATCTATCTTATATCTTCACTGTTCAAATTCACGATATAACCGTAGATCGGATGAGGGTGCTTTTATTTGCTCAATCACATTATCCGGGAAGCAGAGGTAGAAGCCCCCTCGAGTCGAATAACGTCGGTCCTTGGTAATCGTTTTCCACGTGACGACAACTTGATCTTCCAGCTGGTCAAAGAATGAAGCCCCCCCATTATTGCGAATTCCACTATCTCCAGCGATCAATCAGAAATCGTCTAGGGGAAGCAATATCATATTCTCATATGTGTCGAACACGTTTCTCTTGGTGCTACGAGAAACTACAATTAATTAATAGTACATTAAAATTGTATTTATCCACAGAATAATTAATTTACTTGAAGATCTAAGAGGCGTGCAGAAGAACGAGTCTATGAATGACGTAATGGAGTTGAAGTAACTTCAGCTCAATTACATCGTTGGTCTGAGACAATAATTTCGCGGCAGAGTAATCTCCCCGCTTCAAAGTAACTAAAGAGACAGGTTCAAGAACATTTGCCCGAAAGAAGCGAAATCAGTCCTCGAGAGTAACATAATTTCTCTGCGCGTCGAGAACTCGCTACGCTATTTTCCGCACGTTTCCGCTTCGGTTTTCTACGCTTGGTAACATACCACAGTTCCTCTCACCGAATATTTTTCAAAAAAGAATTATACGAGACCAAAAAACGAACGTATGTTTGAAAAACAGATCACGTATTCTAGTTTATAAAAAATACAGGTTTAAATTGTGAACTCGAAAACTTCTGAATTGGACGATACAATATAACCACCGACATGCGAACATTTCATTATATGAATACTTATTACCTCAACGTTCTATTATATGAACAGTATACTTTTTAATACAGTACTTTAAATGAATATATAAAGTATTTATACATACATAATTCTGTAGAGTAAAATCCATTTAATGATTCGGTATAAAATAAGCATAGTTACGGTATAAAATAAACGATTTGTTATTGATCATTGTTTTAGACAATAAATTATCTATCATCAAATTATATCCGTTCTATTTCAGTTTGCCTTAAATACACGAATAATAATCGTTCGATGTTGTATTGTGTGAAAAACAGACTTGTCCCCAAGCTAGCCCATACAGTGGAGATTTTGGTATAGGATTGCAGATTTTTTAATTGTCGCATTAACAATTAACAATTAAATATCTTTAAATCTCGATTAACAATAGAAGTAAGAAACGAGGATACTTGATATTAATATTGCATGCCGAAAATAAGAAGTATTCAATCTTAATAGTGATTAAGAATCTACAACGGTAATATCGATTATACTTGAATTTCTAATTTAAACTATTTACTTTAAATCATTTTAAGAAGCTTCGATTTTTCTGCATACAGCAGTGTTCAGTAAAAATTGTAGAAGGATCATGATGTACATCGTAATACCTCCAACTACCTAAGAATTTAATACATCCTTATTAATTCGATGAATAATGGTGCTACATTACTATATAAATATCCATCGTCTTACCTGTGACAAAAGCATCGCGTTCATATCAATTGCCTTTGCAGTAAACATATTATTTTTGTGCAATATTTGCAATGAAAATAGCTGTGCCTGTAATTTCAACATTGATATACATAAAGGTAGTACTACAAAAGTTTTCGAATAAATGATATTGAGCCTCAAATAATAAAAGTAGGAGAACAATCTATTATTGTATAGAGGGTGAAACAGTAACATCACTTCAAATTGCTAATTGAAAAAAAAAAAAATAGATTTATTTAATGATTTTCATTGTATAATGAATTTATATACGTATTGAGCAGCAAAAAAGGAATAATAAAATCGTTACCTCGTACTTCGCTTCTGCATCAGTTGTACTACCAAGAACGTCGTGAATGATTATCTTGATCTTCTGTGCTTCGTTTGTCGCAAGTTCACAGGTCCATATCACCATGCCGAATTTGACAAAATAAAAGAAGACTGCCGAAATGTACGGAGAATACCACAATGTATTGTGATAAGCAGGATTGTCAGATAATGGAGTATATGGATATAGCAATTGATAGTACACATTGAACGTGACAATGATAAACGTCGAAGTCGTCATAATAATATTTCGTATAAGGAAGTCATTATTCATTCCTTCGACCACGTGGCTGATTTGTAAATGTTTCTTCTCCAAGATCTTCAGTTTCGTTAGCAATAAAAACTTGACCTGTGGAGATAATGGGTTTGAAACGCCGTTGCAGCTCTTATTGGCATCTGACATGAACGTCAACTCTTGAAGGGACTTATTCAATTTTTTGAAACACGCTTTCACAACGTATACTAAATCTATATAAAACATGTCGAGCAAGAAGTTGACCATTAGCGTGTACAAAGTGCACAAATTCCGCAAAGTCAGCACAATCTCGTGTGTGAAACAGTTTGAAACATGGCCTAACAGGAGTAAGAACCCAATCACATCCTTCGCGTAAATCAACTTTGATAACTCGTTATACTTCTTCTGAGATAATATCGTAGACATCTCGAGTATCTCTTGAAATGCGGCTGATTCACCGTAGGTGAAAATGTGATGCAACACGTACATCATCGAGCAGACTCCCTCCAATAAAAAATACATGTTGGTGTTGATCGTTTCCGTTGTGTTGTTCGAGATCACGGTGGAGAAATTTATGTAATAGAGCACGTACAGTAAAGAACTCGCGTAAAGGAGCATCGCGAATATAAAATGCGCGAGACGAGTTTTGGTACGTATGTACATCGGCGATACATATTTGTATGGAAAAATTCCGAGTAGTGAGTACATGAACAAACACGGGTACATCAACGACTGTAAATTCGTAGCGTGAAACAATCTCCATTTTCCGAGTTTTTCCATTCTTCCTCTTTTCCCGTTAGAATTTCAATCTATGGTCGTTGTTGTTAAGAAGCATTTCGAGTAACAGTGGCTCGTTGAAGTCGTCTAATTCAATAACGAAGAATACGTAGAAAGTGAATGCTTTTAACATGATTAGGTGATAATCTATATTCCACATCGACAGAAAATGCATTCCATTAAATTAACTTTATAATCTATTTATTGAGTTTGTTTTAACAAGGTTTCACCAGAAATTGTATTAGTATTAAGAGGAACGTAGTAATGCTACACACTGCCTGAAAAAACATATAAATAAAATTAATCGTCCTTGATGAAATGCTTCCATTAATTTACCTTGGTCAGAAGAGTCGCGTCTATTACAAACCCTGTCGCTGTGAACGTAATCTCTCTTTGTAACACTTGCAACGAAAACAACTTCAACTACAATCGCATACGTTAATGAATCATGAATCTAAGTATTAACGGATTTTTTAATTATTTTATTACCTCGTTTGTGATTTCTTTATCATACGTGTGTATGACAAGTCGATGTATATTCGAACCAATTTGTCTAACTTGTGTCTTGACCTTCTCGACGTACCAAATAATTAGAATCACATATGTGGCATAGTAAAGTACAAAGAACAAAGTGTAGGAGAACAATTCTGTGAGTCTGCCTCCTTGGTTCAGTTCCACAAGGTATTTGTAGAGATTGAACGTAACGTCTAGTAATAAAAATGTGAATATTGCTAGATTCGTTGAACCAAATGCAGAATTCAACATCTTAACAGCTTCGCTGATCTCTAGATGTTGCTTCTTAAGCATTCTCAACTCTGCCAGTAACATGGGATTCTTTCGTGTGTGATAAACCCTTCTGAGGAGGTGAGGCTCGTCATTAATTATAGTTTCCCTCACGTTAACTAAGTTATTATTTATATCCTTGAAACAAGCTTCCAGCACACATACATTATTCGTGTACAGGACGATAATCACGAAAAATCCGATAAAATTAACCCAAATGGTATAAATCAGTGCTGTTTGGTCATGGGCAAGCACGAACTGACCAAAATTTAAAATCGGGATAAACATTATCACGTCTTTTATGTACATCCTTTTCGCCATGCTGGAAAAGATCTTCGGAGGCAGCATTCGCGAAATCTGAGATACTCTTTGAATTACACGTAGGACTGATCGATTTGAAGCGAAAGCAGAGATGAACATTGCAGAGCCCAAAGTCAGAGAACAAATTGTATGTATTTTTTGCAACATTGTTCTATAAATATGTTTGTCAGTGTAAGAAAAATAAAATTCGTGTGCACTAAGGAAAACACACACAAGATAACTGATAAGTATAATCATCGAGAAAATGAAGTACGGTTTAGAGTACACCAATTTCAACGACTCAATTTTGCATGGCAAAAATCCTATTACACGACTGATGAAAATGTACGGATACATTAAATTCACGTAATTCGCGATCGATGGACGCATCTTAACTCGTCTCTTCGTGAATGTTCGACGATACAGTTTTCAATATCGAAAAGTAAACGCACGTTTAAGTTTAGACTGGATCGGGTAAAGCGTAACGTTGTTTTTCGAGTGAAACGCGTTTCTAACTCTTAGGAAGTGAAGAACGTTAGAGTCAAACTCGTTCGTCAAATGCCACTGGAGATTAATCATCTTTATGAAAAATATCAATTCGCTAATGAAAAGCATTTTACGATATTACCAGAGACGGCACTATCTCGAATAGAACAAATCGATTGAATTAATGTAAAGTAAATTGTTTCATTAACTCTACTTGTTCTTATCTTGTGTCGAAAAATTCGATTTGCTAATGTCTTTATGTGAATTACAATGAAGATTTGTACTTGTATTGTGCACAATTTCATTATACAGAATACAGAATTCGACACGAATGGTCACAGACCATTTCACAGATGATACAGAGGATGTTCCAAGCTTCAATTAGCCTTAATTTTTCGTTTCGACATGTCCGTCGAACGTGAGACACAAGAGTCTACTTGTACACCTCATTTGTGGAACCATATTGAATTACCGACGTAGCTATCAATAAAAGCGCGTATGCGTGGCGGCGGATTGAGAGCTGCAGGTCAAACAAAACCCTTGATACGATGCACGAGCTTGCGTTTGTACGTTGTAATTCGCGCATCACTTATCGGAAGGCTTGCCTCCGCGTCGCGTGGGAATCGCGCATCGTGTGTCACACGCTTTTATGCAACCGCGAGTTGCACACTCGGAAAGGATAACATTGCGACGTGAAACCGCGTACGCGTCCGGTGACCGGCTGTCATTGATCAACGGAACGCTTTCATTTGGTCACTGAACCTCGTCCGATAGACAGAGAGAGGACAACGAAAACCCTGCTGGAAGTCACAACTCGTTCGCGTTTATTACGCAATGATTCGTGACGCCGCTGCCTATTCAGGTGCGAACCGAATCAAATCGTGGTCGAACGCTACGCCGCGCGTCGCGCTGACCGGAAGGCGTTCGTGCGCACAGCTCACGCGATTATGTACCTATTAATCGACACGGTGGAAAGCTTGTCGTATTCATCCCTCGGTATCACTTTTTTAATTTCATGAAATAAAACGTTGAAAATCTAAAGTTTTATCTATTATCACCTTCTTCGGCTCTAACACTTTTTGTGGGACACCCTGCATAATTCAGATGTTCCTATATAGATAATCATTTTTTCTTTAGATATAATAGCGAAATAAATTTTCGATTGCTAAAACATCATTTATTTCTATGGTTAGCATTTTTTAAACAAAAATGAAAAATATCTTGTTTTCTGTCTTATCATTGTTTATTATAAATCAAGATGTACGTGCATTTTACAAGAATATTTGATACTGTAATATCTGTTTCATATTCATCAGCTTAATAATAATTGTTCGTCGATGCTGAAATACCTTTTTCACTCTTTTCAAGAAAGCTAAGAAAAGATACTTCTCGGTATACTAGCATTATAATGGACCGGAGAGACATGCCATGGGTAGATTCTTTACCCGTTAACGTCGCAAAGCGAAATTCTATCGGCGTGGTGCCCCGTTGGTATAAAAATGTAACTCCATAATGCGCCGGTGGGAACGTCATACGATTTCCTTACCTGCGGCAGTTCCACTGCGCCGTATATCCCATCCCGAAACAAGATCCTTTACTACCCGAGGCGATGAGTGTCGATTAATTCGCACAACGTAATTCTCTGCTTCCCTTCGTTCAAGTGAAAACTTTAATTGAAAAAGAATAGAAAGATAGCTGGGAACAAGTTCGGATATTCTATAACGTAAAATTCGAACATTCCGTTACGCAGAAATATCGTTCGCATCCGCGGCGCTTTTGTTTTCAACAAATTTGCAAGAAGTTCCGCGCGAGTTCCCAGAGTGGAGCGTAAATCTTCTTTAAGGAAACGCAACGAAAACTTCGTCTAAATAAATTGTGATTAAGTGGCCTTTTAAGCGGGGAAGTTGAACCGACTCGTCCGCGGGAAATGGACCCCTTTTTTTCTCTCACTTCCTTTTCTCACGTTACATAGGGCGAAATATGGGAGGAAGTTATGAAAATAGGCTGGGATTGTCGACGAAAACCCAGGGCCCCTTGGAAACTCGGTCACGACGCAACAAAGAGGAAAAATTCTTTCCCTTCAACCATGGAATCTTTTAATGCGCTCATTTATCCCATAATTAATTACCGAGCTCGGCCACTAATTAAAAACTTTTGTTCCCTCACCGCCATGACTCCGATCCTTTGATGGGCTCCGATGCGTCAGGAGCATCCCTCCTTCCACGTCCCCCTTTCCCTCATTCCCTTTCGTTGTTCATCACGGGATTATTAAGTTCTTCGACGGATTTTTTCCGAACTTTGCGTCCTACCAACCACTGTTACGCGGTTTTTATTATTATACTTTCAAAGCCACGTAAAAATGAATGGCTTAAAGTAATATTGAATGATAATCAGATAAAGTTCTGAACGGATCACTTGTTTCGCGATCCTATCAATTCGATACGGGTTGGATCTATAAAACGGGATTTCACAAATCTGACTAGCAAAATCGAAACTTTTTAAACTCAACTAGTAACTCTGTTAAGTTTGTCGAAGCTCTTCCGAAGTTTCATCTCGGACTACTGGAGAGGAAGGGACAGCCGGTGCTGGCAAAAGTGAAAAAAGAAAGAGAAGCAGAAAGGAAGGGAAGCGTCTCCAAAGAAGGGTGCAGTCCACGTGGCGCCACTCGAAACTCAATTTTCCCTATGCGCCGTGCAGCTTTCTTTGGCGAATAAGGTTACCCTGGCAGAGAGAAGCAGGGTCACGTGCAGGCTGGATTCTTTGTGCACGTGCTGATATGAACAAGCACCAAGGAGTATCGGGAACTGATTCGTATCGAATGTATACAATCTCTAAAAAGACATCATGGAAACATAATCATTTTTTTATTCATGAAAAAAAGTATATTTTGTATGTATCTACTATGAAATGCATTTAAAAATGTACATGAAATAAATATTAAATGGGTATAACAATTCTACATCAATATTATGCGCTAAATATAACTAATTCTTTCACAATTAATTAAAATACACATAATTTGAAATACTCTATCAAAATTACACTATACGTACTATTTTATATATAATTTTGCCTATTATACAATGTGGTATATTATATTATAGTACACAGTGAATATCACTTAGCGTTACAATAGGTACTTGTTACCGTAGAACTGATTAATCGACTAAGGAACCGCATCGTGAAGGAGGCGACCCTACGCCTGACCAAGTACGGCCTGTACTACTTAGAGGGTTGAGCACATGCCGTGTACGGTCAACGAGACCATTAGTACACATCTTGCTGGTGTCGGACTAGCTACTGTTTGCCTATTACTATTATCTATTCCTCATCGATTCAATTACAAGATTTACGACAGACACTTAATGAAATTTAACAGCTAACAATATACTATTCTCAACTAATTAACCAGCTTATGTCATACGTTAAATTAAAGCATAATTGTAGATTTTTATCCCGAATAAAAGATTTGTAAGTCAATTTAAAAAAATTTTGATAAATCGAAATTTCGTTTACCCTTCAAATATTTATGTACACTTACGTATGTATAATGTAGATCGTTTGCATTTCCTACACACATCAAACTTTTCTATAATTTATAAAGTCTATAGTCTAGAGATATAAAAATTTCAAATATTATGAAAATAACAATTAATAAAATAAGTTTTGAAGGAAATTAATTAATAGATGTTTACGGTTGCTGCTGGAATACAACAATTCAGAGATAATCGATCCAGGAATAGTTTTGATCCTCGCAGAAAACAAAGTCCACGAGTATCTTGAGCGATATTATGAAGGCCCCGGAGAAAAAAAGAAAGCCCTCGGCTCCACCTATTCCCAGTTCTCCGAGTGGAAGCGAAATCCGCCATCAAATCCTCGTTCGTTCTTCCTCATCGATCCCATTTCTTGAATGGTAGCCAGATTATCCGGCCGAATGGCCCGCCAGACACATCATCATCGGCGGCTTCTTTGTCTTCGACGATTCTCCCGATGGGAATTAGGTACCGCTGTCTTCCCGCGGGATGGCCCGTAGCCCGTAGCCGAGGACGAGGAAGAGCTTAGAACAAAGAGGAACGACGAGACCTTCCCGTTGGGACGCAACTGAAGTGGGACGGAGGAAAAGAGCTATCACGGCATCTTCGAGCGAACGCAGAAGAGCATTCCGAGTAATTATAACCCCTTCCCGCGATTTTATTCACTCCCCTTGCTGCAGACCGAGCTTGTTATTCCTTTTCTTAATCGAGTTTCCTTCCCTTTTCCTAATTACGTTTATTGGCACGCCGTAAATACACATGATACTCATTCATGATACACGAACTTTTGTACGTACAGATAGTATACGTATCTATACGTAATACGTAGTACGGTTGTATAATTTGATTGAAATATACTTAATTATTTATGTATTTATTTATTTATTTATCCTTATTTAATTTATCAACCATCTACTGTTGCACATTCTTTTTCTTATAATTTCGATGGCACTTATGAATCGTATACCTAATTATATTCCTAATCGTAGAACAATGACATAT